TATTTTTGTAAATTATAAGTGTACTTGAGAAAAAGTACAGTTTTTTTTTACAAATAGTTATATCATAGTTATATCATAGGGAAATTCAAATTCGAAAGAGATATTTGTTATGTTATAACTTTAGGGTTATAATTATTTGAAAATTAAAGTAGTTCATATTTTATTTTACATGAAAGTTGAATTTTGTATTTTTCAAAAATGTTCGTGTATGATAAGACGATTGAATTATATATTATAATATAATATATATAATCGTTGTTTAATATATAATTCAAACCATTATTATAAAGATCGTCATTATCCTTAGAACATAAAATTTAATATCTCAGAAACGAATTTCGATTAGGGTACAAAACATTTTGAAAAAAAATAATCTTCCTATAACAATGTTTGGTAAAAAAAAATGTTAAAAAATCATAATTTGAATAAGTGCATCATTATAAAGGATAAAAATGGGGATGAACTTGCCTGGTGAATCACCCTATATAATAATGTATATAATATATATATTATATATATATAAATATTATCATCGTAATAGGTATTTAAATATTTTAATCCAACGATATTAGAAAGTCGTTGAAAACGGAACGATCGCGAAAGCTGTTGTATGAAATATCCACGCTTTAAGGTTAAATGCGTATTATTATATTTACTCGGTATGTATATATACTTACTCGTATTTATCATACATGTCGCACGAGGAAAATAATGTTCACACTCGGCAAATCGAAACGATAATAATAATATGCTCGCAGCACCAGTTCAAATATACCATTATGCACGATTTATGCGATAACGACGCAAAATAATATTTTATGGGAGAAAACAAAAATATGTATCCCGAGTGTATATAATATATTGTTATTATATTATATTGCAGCACGTCGGGTGTTAAAGACAAGTGTAGTGTCGCAAAACTTAAAAACTGTCACGGAACATCCCGCATGGAATAAACTAACGAGCAAATCAAAATATTTAATTATAACATAATATGTATATTTTGGTATCAGCTAACTGATGTATATTATAAATTATGAATTATTATATGTATGACGTATATCTCACGTACCCACTTGTATCCACTGAAACAACGCAAACTGCTGAACCACGTAACTTGTTTAAAGCAAATACGGAATGCTATATTGACTTGTCTTATTATAAAAATAGTTAGGTTAGGTATTAAAGGTCAAGTAAATCTATTGATTGTAACAAACTCTTAATTTATTTTAATAAATAATTAACAATTTCATCAAACATTCATGGTTATTTTATCTGATTCATACTGTGGTAGTCAGGTGAAATTATGATATGCTCTTATACTTATTAATAAATTATTAAATCAAAATATATTTACTAGGTAATTTAAAAAAAATTTAAAATTTAAAATCGCAAATTATAGAACTGTGCATCCAGTGTGTGTGTGTKTTGTGTGTGTAAATTTAAAACATTTAAATTTAAATTAATTTAATACTTATACAAAGATAAGAAAATATGGTAAATTTAAAATTATCAGACTTGTGTGAACAACTAATTCACAATATTTTGTTCAAATAGTTTACCGATACTACAATGATCGACAGACATGCTCAGCAACAAAATATTTTTTTTTTGCCCATGGCGGATGACTAAGTAAATTAAATTTTTTTCCACAATGTATACAAATCAACGTTTTCCACTTATAACTTATAACAACAATAATATAATAACACTAACCTCACCGAGTACTTACGCATAGACAATAATATCTACAGCAATAATCAAATGTATAAGGGGTTCTTTGCAACAACCAGGTAAGTTCATATTATATTGAAATTGTTTAGGACGACCATTTCAAAATTCGTTATCCCGTTTATTATTACCATAATAAAGAATAAAATACAACTAACGAAATGTAGGTACCTAGGTATGAAAACTCAATAGAAAAATGGTTATTGAACCAATTTTATTTAAAGGTATTACATCCATAACCATGAACTCATTTTCATGGAAAAGTCAATTTCAGAAATACTGTGCGCTTCGAGCATTATACAGGTTTTCGGTGTTCCGTGATTCCGTCCTCCGTAAAAAAATTTCCATTCAAAAAACTTATCAATAAAAATATTTTTTATTATTTTTTACCTACGGTTATAGAATATATCATTTATTTACATGATCTTAAAACTTCGATGTATTATTCACTATATCAACAGGAAAATGCTAAGTGTTATTAATCGTAAAATAAACTGGTAGATAAGTTAAAAAGTTAAAAAAAAACTTTTCATCGAGTTTATGTCCCCGTCGATAAGTCGCAGCGAAGATGGGCATAATACTAGTAGGTAGATGCATTATAATTATAAATATATCAAATAAAAATACGATCATTATTATTCATCATCAATGTCTAGTGGCGGCGTGATAGGGTGTTTCATGAGGCAATTGCCTCACGACTGATTAGGTGGTGGTACCTCCTGAAATGGATATTAAAAAACACATAATATGGTCAAGTGGTCAACTATTTACTAAATACTATTTATACTAATTATATAATAATTTGTATCTCACGATTACTGGAAATACACTATGTGTAGTGTGTACAATAATGTGGTATCGTGGTAACAGTGTAACATGAAACCGGAAACTCTATAGAGTTGTAATGTTATTATTTATTAATATATTATAAAATATAAGTAATGAAACACAAACATAAGTAACTTTATTATATTTCTGATAGGTACTAACATGATCATGTAAATTATTGTTGTAGAATTGTGAATTGTGGGTGTGGGGGCAAAGCCCCCTCGGGTCTGTGTGATAATATTTAGGCGGTGGTGGTCGAGCATCTATACGTTTTGCTTCACGAGATAAAATAGTTAACGCCAGCACTGAATTGTCGGACATATCATAATAGTACATGTACATCTCTCCGAGATTATATAATATAATATGAATATATTATAATATATTATTATTACTATTATTATTCAATCGCTTTGTTCCGGCGTTTCTTTATAAATAATATCGCACTAGTATAATTAGGTTTCGTTTGAATGTTATAGTATTTTCGCTATACTTATGTTTATTTAACTCAGATATTTATTTATAGTAGGTACCTACTGTTAAAAATATTATTTTGAACATTTAAATTTAACATTTGCACACATTTTTCAGATCTCGACTTTTGAATCTTGATTTCTGCAACGAGTATACTATAAGTACTTTCTTTCCCATCAATCTTATGGAATCATGATGTGTAGTATTGAATGCTCAAAAAAAAAAAACTCAAATTTAATCCAAAATTTCATCTTTAATGCTTAGTCCAATTATTTGGCTTTATACCTTTTGTGGTTTGATTAGGTATTACAATTTTCTGGTTAACTGCATACCTGTATAATATACTGTTAAAGTGACTTGTTTTATTGAAATTTTTAATTGTTTCACTATGTTATTGCCCGACTTGATACATTAGTTAAATTAAATATCAAGACACTAATTATTATTGATGTCATAATTAAAAGTAAGAAATCGATAAAAATGTGAACGCAACAATTTAAAATAATAATTTAACTACAGAATAAAATCTCACTAATGTTTATCGATTGACAAAAGTTTTAACTGTTTTAAGTTTAAATAAAGCTAAATTATAATGTAAATGTCAATATGGACGACGAATGGAAAATTATTAAACATTTGGACTTTCCAGAAGTGCCTACCCATTAGACGTATCAAAACAAATTATCTCTTAACAATCGTTCAAATGGCTTACCAAATGAAATTCAATTACAGCACTCAAACTAATTATTTTTGAGATGATGTCTGTTGCTTAATTTTATTAACGCATTAAAAAAATAAAGGCATTTTATCACAGATTAAAATATAATACCACTTTAAAGGCTAAATATGGTATAATATATAACTATAGTTTATACAGATAGAATGGAAATAACAGAAATGTTTAGACTTATTGGTAAAAATAATTAAAATTGAAAAGTGAATAAGATAAAATATGTGTTTTTGATATCTATAAAAATGTTTAATCCTCAATCATAATAATATACATGCAATTGCATTATTTATATTAAAATGTTATATTATCAAGTCCCTGTAATACAAGGTGTGTAGGTATTAGGTACCTATAATACTACATAATAATTTAAAAAATAATACTAACGAGAAAAATTAATTAGGATATTTATTTCTTATACATTACATAAAATATTCATGAATCGTATCTAAAATATAAGTGTGAGGCAAATCGTTGAAAAAAAAATCGTTTTAGTAGTCCTTAACATCGGTACGTATTATACTCGTAAAGTATGCACCTGGAAATATCTATTGTGCAGCGTAATTAGGTCAAGAAAAACATATTAATTTAGGTATGAAGTGCGCATATTGTCATTTATATTATCTGGAGTTTCCCCATTATGAAATACTATGACAAAAAAATCAATGACACAGGGTGAAAATAAATAAATTTAAAAACACATGTAGATAGCTCAATATGGATGTTATACTGCAGTAAACTTGCCATACATTGAATGTATCCACGTCTTTTCTTGTTTACTGTAAGTTATATTCTATGATTAATGACAGTGGTTAGGGAGGTGGTATTTTATAGGTCGTTCCGCTTAATTTCTGTAAGTTATATAAGTAGATAAATAGTGTAACCAATAACCATATTAATATAATCTTGGTTGATTGGACCATAAACGTAATAATTAAATGTAGTCCTGACTTCTTGCTACATATCATAATAATAATATAGGTACCATAAAGAGCCCTTTCAAAACAGAAAAATTAATTAACTATAGGTATGGCATATTATATTATGAATAATTTTCTAAAATTGAAATCTTTGGATTCGTCTCAGATTCTGCTGCAGGTTTGAAAGTTGTCTATCGTGTGCTGCCAAAAATCACCGGATATCCGGTTATAATAAAATGTGTCAATGATAAAAAAAAAATATAATATATATATATATATAATAATATTAAACCGGTGCTTAAATGCTTTGTTTTCAGTGTGATTCCAGAGCCAGTTAGTTCTCCCTACATGCGTGTGCTGCAACACTTCCGTTACCATTGTCGACGACGACGAAACCGAAATGGCAGTCGTCCGGATGGCCACAAAACGGTTTTTCGCCACCCGCGACTCCATCAACGGCAACAACGTTAAGAATTATAATATCGCCGCCGTCATCCTGTGTATCACAACTTTAGTCCTGCATTCAGGTGAGTCATTTGAAAATGTATTCTTAATAATGTGCTAGCCATTCTCGTGTATGTTTGAATTTTATCTATTTTAAATATCAGACAAATTAAACAATGGTTAATAATAATGGTGGTAATCGTCTAAAAAATACTTATATTAAAAATAAGATACTTAGGTATGTTTAAAAACAGCTTTTCCTAACAAATTATAATTATATAATTGTTAAACTCCACAGCTGGAGAAAACTGTTTCTTCAGTACATCAAATTAACGAAGTGAATGCGTCGTAATCCATCGTTTTAATCTAAACACAAAATAATAAATTCACACATGTTAAACGTTAACTTCCGATATAATTGGATATTTGGATCCATTTAATCAAAAATAATAAAATGTTCTTCTATTTTTCTGATATATTTGATTTTTCATTACTTTTAGTCTTTTTAGTCCGAAAATAAAATACCTATAACATGTTCCATTTAAAAAATTTCAAACTTCTGGACATTTTATGTATATCATATCATAAGCTCTCAGAGATAAAATTATACAATAAGGTTCAATAATATATTTTTTGCCGACAAAATACAAGTTTGAAGAGCTAAAAAAAGTACTGCAATCATAGCAAAGTTTATTCGGTTATATTTGAATTACCCAAGTGGCTGCACTATTTTAATCGTATATAATATGATGAGGTCCAACTTAAACTTGATAATTCGGTCCACAGAAGATAAATGTTTGAATATTATTTTAAACTTTAAATCAGTTACAATACCAATCCTCAAAATAAATTTACGATGCAATACAAAATGATATATTCTATTTCAATATTATATTATGATTATTATGATTCGAACGGTAACTGAGATTGTAAGTACCTACATGGTAATATATATGGAAACACTACTACACAAAATAAACAGATCGATAATATTATAATAGTAATAATACTTAGCTAACTATTGTGAGTGTTTTATCGGGCAGCGATCAAGACGTATTATGAATGGGTAATAAATACCTACGCGCATAAACTGTGAAGTTTCTCTTACACGTGTTTTCTTGTTTAATGCTCACAGAAGTTTGTTATACACGGCCATTGTGTGCATATTATTAGGTCGTTATTCAAATTTTCGACTGCAGCACTCATCACAGACCAAATCCTAAATAATGAGTGAACGTCTATAATAATAATCAAGAACTACGTTATAAGATTTAATTATGTGTACCTATTAATATTTTTTTTTTCGGCTTTGGACATTTTCTGGGGATATTATTATCGTATGATGCGACACTCGTAAAGTTCGTTATAATGTAATATTTAGGTATTTTATCTACAATATTGAATATACATATTAAATTATAATTATAAAAATTTAAATTTCATTATACAAAATAAACTTATTTGAAAGGGTTGAAGCGTAATCGCCGTACAACATTAGATTACAAATGACAAAAAAAGGAAAAACAAAGTAAAAAGTGATAGTAAATAGAAACAGAAACGACGAGATAGACACATCGAGCGAGGGAGAGAGAGAGAGTGAGAAAGAGAAAAAAGGTTTTTTAAATACCCTAGAATGCCTGCCATATTTCACGTGGTATCTGAAACAGTTTTCGCCCGTAAATGATAACGTCATGCCGCTTAGTGTGACGTTCCAGTAAAGTGTCGGGCGTTAACAAAATTATTAGGATACCCAGCCAGTGATTTATAATTAAACTTAAAACTACGTCGAGTTAAATCATATTTACTTCTGTTTTGCATTTATTATCTCACTGTCGGTGTATATCACATCACAATTATTAAACAGCAGACGGCGATAAGAGCTTAACATATTAAACACACGTTACTTTTTCATATACTCTTCGGTTTCTCGTACATTGACTAAACATGGCTTATCCTTCACGTGTTCGTACATAATGATAATATCATACTATATTACGAGTACACGACACTTCTTAAATACACTTGCTACTTGCTGACACGATTGTTTTTGCAAATGCGTTTCACGATATCGTGGTTTTGTGTACTTATTCGATTTTAACATAAAAATGGTATCGTATCCCTATCACAGCTGGTTGACGTTGACGTTGATTATGATTATTATAATTTAGGTACCAGAAATATACTTTTTTGAGGAGGGGGACTAGTAGGGGATTTAATGTTAGTTTTTTAATATAATGACCAAAAAAAAAATCATTTTATTTACATCTCATTGGAAATAAATTCTTTCTAATAACGACAGCGATAGGGGGAACGGTTATCCTCCCACCGTAATAATACATCACTACATTCGCTAGATAAAAGGGTGCTGTAAGTTGGTAAGATCGTTTTTTTATAAATTGAACAAATATTGCGTATTCACGTCTTGTCAATCTCGATCACGATTTATCACTTTTTTTACAAAATTTATAAATACACAACACAGTGTGCAACCACAATTTACAATCAGAAATTCAGAACCTAGTTTTGGTTTTTTATTTATTAATTTTTAGCTTAATGCGTGAATGTTGTATCAAGTGCGCGTGTAGCTCTGTTATTATGGTCAGGTAACAGCTGATAGAAACTTGAGACCGTTATAATAATGTATTGTGAAGGGAGTAGCGACTATCTTTCGTTTTCTTAAAGTATATTTGCGCGTATAAATTGCGTTTTTTCATTTAAATAAACCACACATTTAAATGATCAATTTTGTTGTGTTTTTTGAAGTTTTCTGTAGCTAATTGGAATATATAAAATAAAAACTATAAAAAGTAAAATACATAATACCTATTTAAAGTAAAAATTTGTAATAATTTAAAAAAAATTAATAAATTAAATTCCTCAATTATTATTGCGATACTTTGATACTTAAGTTAATGGTAGGTGTATAACATGGTTGGCTTGAAAAGTTTATTCTTCTTACTAAGGAAAATAATTATAGTCTTAAAAAGTTGGTGATGACATATTATTATAGTATTTTCAGTCGAAAAAAAAATCGAAATTCGTCTTAAGGCATATAATAATATAAGCTACCTACAACATAAAAATGATCGTATTCAAAATAAATCGTCTTTTTGCCTACTCCATTACACTTTCAATACAATTATTTTCTAAAAGCGACTTATCAACTTAACAAAAGTCGCCGATCTCGTTGCAGCCATCTGTCATATTATCTTGTCTCGTCATTGTCCGCAGTTCGAATGATGTGTCGTCTGACGACGTGGCTTAACGCGAATATAATCTAAAAATAGTATATATTTATAGGACAAAATGTTTTTTGCATTTCAAACTCTGCGATTGTATTTCTGATGTTATACAACTTTTATAATATATATAGAAGGACAAGTATAATATACATTTTTATGTAGTCAACTGAGCATAATACATTATTATATATTATCACATAAGATAAATATGAGTGGCTTACATGTACTATTTAAATTTAAATACAAAATAAAATGTTCTGTTTGATAAAAGATACATCCCATTCTTAGCTATTAAAATACAATTTTTCCGACCACCCAAACGTATTTTTGACTAWAAATTATTTGTCTAAACAAATGCTTCTTTCTGAAAAAAAAATTTTAATAGAAGTGGAGTGATGTGACCTAATATTTTATATAAACAAATTTTTAAAATAAAATTCAGGTGTGTTACTATTTTTGACTCTAATAAATCTAATCATTGATCCAGATGTACATGATATATGTTCATTTGACAAATTGGTGTATAGATTATATTATATTATATTCAAATTAAATCATTTAAATACGCCGTATTATTTTATATGGTAGTAACGATCCATCCACCATATCTTAAGGTTTCTTTGGATAGTTTCAAAATCCTTACCTATATATATATATTATGTAAGCAATATTATATAACTACCTTCTGAATTGGTGAAATATTTGGCTCACCACGAGTAGACGATATTTCTGACAGTAATAACTCACTCCGGAGCATAACCAAAATATAAATCATTAGCTGATTCCGACTGAGATCATTGAACGGAATTCATAAAAAGGGGGACAAATCAATTCTTAAAATATTCGGTATAATGTTAAATTGGTAGGAAATTTCACACCATATCTAATAGTCACGCAGTTGTTCTGGTGTTATTATTCTTTAATGAGTTATAATTGTCAAATTCGGTTATGCGAACTAGTCAAATTTCATGTCATGTTATGACTGTTATGAGAAACGGAATAAGTCATAATATTAATTAATATTATATTAATATTAATTAATATTATATTAATATCATAAATTATAAGCGCTAAAGGGAACAAGTCATTAAAACAATTTATATAAATTTAAGTTCAAAATAATAATTTTAAAAGTACCTATATACAATTATAAACAATCCACATGTTAAAATCATAAAACCTTAGGTTATTGAAGGATACCTATAACCTGTAGCGGAGGTCGGAGGGAATAGGTCTATATCTATTAGATTTGGTTTTATGATGTCTCTCATTATAGGGATATTTACGAAAAGAGATTCGAATACTGACAAAACATTACTTTACGCAGTAAGGGGTTTTGATAATTTTTAAAACAGATTCATCACCTATTAAATATTCGAAAAAATTATAAAAAATGTTTTAATCGATTTTTATCCATTAATATTACAATCATAATAGGTATGTTACTTTTCTTTGGTTATCTCAAAATGCAATATACAAATAAAATCCACCAGTACATTTAACATCAGTTACTATAATTTACTATGCTACTCGCCACCCATATCTTACAGATTGTTCAATTAAGTTGTGAATTCAACATTCTTGTAGCTCTTCGTGCGTGTGTCAATGACAAAAAGAGTGTATACATTTTTAATGTATCGAGAATGCATATTATACAGTACAATATTATATAAATTATCTATCGAGTAGGTACATTAATATTATATTAAGCATAAATTAAAACGATCGACATTGATTTTTCTGCTTAATTATCATATTTTTGTTTTTCGATTGCCACCGAAATCAAGAGCCGCGGTGAATATATTATAATGTTATATAATATCAAGTAGGTATTATATGGT